AGATTTTAGAATAAAGAATATTTTCTGTAATAAAGAGACATTTTGTAGTAATAGATCATTAACAGGACATAAAAATCTTAAATGTATATGCTTCAAAATAATATGAAGCAAAACCAAATAGAACTTACAGGAGAAATAGACTAAACACAAGTATGGTTTTATCTTTCTCACCAATTGATACAAGTAGAAAGTGAGTCTTATGACTTGAACACTTGATATGATATTTATAGGATACTCAACAAAAGCAGAGCACACATTCAAATGCACATGATACATTTACGATAACAGATTACATTCTTGGCCATAAAGCAAGGCTCAATAACTTTAAGAGGGTTGAAATCATAAAAGATACATTCTCAGATCACAAGGAAATTAACAATTAACATCTGAGAAATCCACACATTTGGAAATTGAATGTCATAAATACACCTTGCTCAAAAAAGTCTAGGGATAGTAGAAAATATCTTTAACTGAATGAAAATGAAAACAAAATGTGGAATGCAGCTAAGATTGACCTTGAGCTGGAGCTAGACTGATGAGGAAAAAAGACAAATAGCAAGATCAGTAACGAATGGGGACATCACTACAGATCCCAGATACATTAAAGCAAGAAGGGCGTTATACAGACAGCTTTATGCTGATAAATTTGACTTTTGATGAAATTGACGATGTCCTTAAAAAGACAAGCTACCGAAGCTCACTCACAGTAGATAACTTGAATAGTTTTATATCTACTAAATTGAATTTCTGGTCAATCATAAATTCATCTGCTGGGTTAGGTAGAGAAAAACAAGATGAGACCATGCAGTGCTTGATGTATTTATAGCAGAGTAACAGTTTTGCTCTCCCATCTTAGAGATGATTTTTCTTGCCCTTCATAATTTTTTTCTGGAAGCAAGGAGTGAAGCTTTCCTTCTATTTTATTAATCTGAAAATTATTACCTGGATTCCTTAGTAGCTGCAAAGCTACTTTGAAGGGGGCTCTGTTTTGAAACACCTAATGAAATAGATTCAGACATGTCTTCTTGAAAGTAACATGATTGGAGGACAAGGTGGCATAGGAAATCATGTTACTGTCAAGAGAAGAAATGAGAAGAAAATGAAAAAGGAAAAGAAGGTTGCAGGACATCAGCTTAATGGAAGCAGCACAGACAAGCTAAATTTAGTATACGATAAGGTGTGTTTATAGTCAAATACATGCTACTTCAATCAAATGTAGACTGATACCGAGAAAACCAATTTTCCCTCTTTATATTAGGTGTTAAAGGCAATTTACAAAGTCAATCTGCATATTAATGTAAATGTTTTTAACTTGGGAGAGGGAAGATATGGACCAGACTCACTTGATTAGGGGCTAGATAGGAGTATTCCAGTAGAAATAAATTGAGTCTTTCATTTTATTCTTCTCTTCCTCTTCCCTATCACTGATCGTTTGTCATTTTTCTATTTAAAAATATGATTATGACAGAACGGACTTGTTTTCTAACATGGTGGCTCCCCAGGTGGGATGCGCACATCTCAGGGAATATGCAAGACCATCATCCATTGGGGTAAGAAGGGAAAGTATTTAAGCTGATATTTATATTTATTTTCATGTTTAATGAAAATGAATTAAATTTTGCTAAT